AGATAGATAGATAGATAGGTAGATAGGTAGGTAGGTAGATAGATAGATAGGTAGGTAGATAGATAGGTAGATAGGTAGATAGACTAGATAGCTGGCTAGCTAGCTAGTTAGGTGGAGAGAGAGAGAGAGAGAGACAGAGAGAGAGAGAGAGAGACACAGAAAGACAGAGAGACAGAGAGACAGAGAGAAAAAGAAAGAAAAAGAAAGAAAAAGAAAGAAAAAGAAAGAAAAAGAAAGAAAAAGAAAGAAAAAGAAAGAAAAAAAAAGAAAAAGAAAGAAAAAGAAAGAACAAGAAAGAAAAAGAAAGAAAAAGAAAGAAAGAGAAAGAAAGAGAAAGAAAGAAAGAAAGGAAGAAAGGAAGAAAGGAAGAAAGGACGAAAGGACGAAAGGAAGAAAGGACGGAAGGAAGGAAGGAAGAAAGAAAGGACGGAAGGACGGGAGGAAGGAAGGAAGGGATGGAGGGAGGGAGGGAGGAAGGGGGGAAGAAAAAAGATAAATAGTAATAGGTGGATAGATGATGATACATAAGTAATGATGGGCAGTTAATGGCACAGTGATAGATGAAGAGAGAGAAAGAAAGAAAGAAAGAAAGAAGGAAGGAAAGAAAGAAAGATAGAAAGAGAGAGAGAAAGAAAGAAAGAAAGAAAGAAGAAATATAGAGAGAGAGGGATAGAGGGATAGAGAGATAGAGAGATAGATAGATAGATAGAGAGAGAGAGAGAGATAGATAGATAGATAGGATTACATTAGAAATAGATTAGGTTAGAATTAGAATAGGTTAGATTAGATTAGATTAGGTTAGATTAGATTAGATAGGTAGATAGATAGATAGGTAGATAGATTGATTGATTACATTGAATAGATTGATTAGATTGATTAGATTGATTAGATTGGTTTGATTGATTAGATTGATTAGATAGATTTGATAGATTTGAGATTTGATAGATTTGATAGATTAGATAGATTTGATAGGTTAGATAGATTAGATAGATTAGATAGATTAGGTAGATTAGATGGATTAGATCGATTAGATAGGTTAGATAGATTAGATGGATTAGATAGATTGGATAGATTGGATAGATTGGATAGAGTAGATAGATTAGATAGACTAGATAGATTGGATAGATTGGATAGATTAGTTAGATAGATAGAGAGATAGAGAGATAGAGAGATAGATAGATAGATAGACAGATAGACAGATAGATAGATAGATAGATTAGATAATTAGATAGATAGATAGATAGATAGACATCTGCATGGGTGTGCTTATGCATGTATACATTCACGCAGTAGTTCTTGCATGTACACATGTCCTTGGACATTTTACATAGTCATATCAATTTCTCTTCCCCCTATCCATTCATTATTTCATCCTGTCTATTTTCTTTGCCTTGCGTGCCCTACGTGTCCCTTGTGTCCTACCTATCCTAGTCCATCTATCCTTCTTAACCTTTCTATCCTTTCCATCCTATCTATCTGTGCTTCCTGAACATTCTAGTCTATTCTACCCTTGGCTGGTCTAGCCCAATCTTTTCTATTATGTCTGCTTGCACCCTGTGTCTATACACGCGCGCTCTTAAATAGAATATTTTTGGGACGCGCGATGCTGATTTTGGAAGCGCTGCCAGCTAGAATCACTATTCCCAGAGGAACTTTGAAATAATTCTACTGTTTTAACCCTTCCCCCCACCCCACCCCCTAAAAGGGCGTAGCGGCGTAGCGATATTTTTCGATGTGTCTAAACATATTTACATGTGTGTGTGTGCCCTATTAGAAGATGCAACATTACAGTTTCCTGCCAGTCAAAGGTACGGAAGGCATTGAATATGTATCTTTTGGTGCGCACAGCTAAGTTCAAACCTGTCAGGAGCACAGAGCTGCGCAAGCGGTTCAATCGTCTACCGCGCTCGATGTCATGCCAAGGGATGATCATCAACCAGCCACGCAGGCAACAAATAAAGTTTTTTTTTCAGTGATATTGGATATCCCAAAACAATCCACTGACTCAGCGTGGGCAGCTTCGATGTCACGAAGCAAAATCCATTTTCAATAAAATTGGAAAGTCATGGAAAATCAAAGGACGCCCCGACCAACGCAGGACGAAGCACATCTTTTGCCATTTTCGCCCACAGAAACTCGACCCGTCGAACGGCAAGCTACAACCATAGAAGTTGGCATCACCGTTCCTGTTGGATGTTCACCGGGTGACACCTTCCATGCAGACTGGAATGGTTTCGGGCCCAGTTGCGTGTCAGTGTGTTCAAAATGCTCCATGTGCACACAGGCGTAAGCAGGCCGCTGGGAATGGATGATGAATCAGTTCTTTCTACACACACTACCTAAATACATGCAAATGTATATGTTCCAAAAATATAATAATAAATATCAATATATATATTTATTTATTTATTTATGTCTATGTATATACACACTATGCGTGTGTGTGTGAACCATCTGAAAAGATGTAAAACTTCTACTTCCGATTTTACCTGGTCCTTCTTCATTTTACTTCTGACAGGGTAAATGATGTTAAACTTCTCTGATTTTTGTCGGCATTATTTCATTTCATTTCAAGCAGGGGGCATGCGGCCATCATGCAAACGCATGCCAACGAAGCTATGCATGATGGTGGAAGCCGGGGCTGATCACCCTGGTGTTCCTGCTTTATCATTTCCATTTTCAGCAATGGGACGTGGCTAACCCGAGAACCACCTTGCCGATTTTTCTTTCAAACTGTGTCAAACCAAACCCAAACTCTCAGTTTTCCATTCGATGTCACTTCACTGCCTGTACGGTCTTCGCAATCTGTTAGGAGAGAACCATTTCGAATTTTCTCGGATCTTGTCATCATACCTTTCCTGTCAGGTTTAATTGAAGTGTTTTGCACGCAAGATGCATTCCACATCTGAATTCGCAATGACTGTTCTGAGCAAGTGTGTGGTTCATGCTGGATTCGTCAAGGTGGCATGAACCCTTCGGGGAATGCATTTCTAAGCAGAATGTGGGTGCAACGACCCGATGTCTGAATTTACACTTTTAATCTAGTAATTCATTTAAGTAAAGTGAAACAATCGTTCAATTTTCAGCTTCTCACCCATCGGTCCAGGGAGTGTTGAACAGCTGCCCGCTGGTTCGGGGATTCACCATTTCAAGTGTACTGCAAGGGTTTGTAGCCATCAGCCGCGACAACCATTCTTTTTTCCACATTGCTCGAGACTGAAACTGAACTGTCACAGACATTGCAACATGAAGGAGCTGAAAGGCAGGTCCATGACTTTAGACTTTAGGTGTGGTTCTTTTCTTTTGATGGTCTCTGGTGAGGTTCAATTGTGCACGTAATTCAGGGGTTGACGACTTTAAACCGTTTACAGGGTTGTGAAATGAAAGCAGAGGGCCTCTGAGCCTTACCGCGATTCCTGCATGATTTGTTGATGCATCATATATGTTTATGTTTGTTTACTTCTGGTTTCAATTTTATCCAACCTGACACTCGTGCCATGTTCCCGGGACGCTTTCCCAGCATTCCTGATTCTATGTGGAATTTTGGATGGAATCCTCAGTCGATGGGACTTCATGGTCAATTTTGTGGGGGTGATCCAATGGGTCAACAGTCTCAAGCTCAGGCTCAGGCGCAGATCTCAGCACTTCAACAACAGAATGCGATGTTGAATCAACACCTCCACGCACAAGCTCAATCTCATATCAACCATCTCCAACAGCTTATTCCATTCCAACCTCCACAACCCTTTCCACCCACGTCAGCTGCATTCCAATCAACACCACAAACACCAGTGCCACAGGCACCAGA